CCGAGCAAATGAGTTTAGGACTAACTTGGGCCATTTTTCAACTATCAATAGAATCCAATCGCAGTTTAGCCGCCTGTCACGGTCATCTTCTGGGAGCATCGACATAATATCATATTCACCTCGTAAATTTAAAGCTGTATTGCATGACTTGTTCGTTTCGGATAAATAGTCTAAAGATTGGACTATGTATCCAAAACGAACTGTAGACTCTAAACATGATTTATGTAAAAGAGAAAAGAAAATTGAAATTGTGTTTGCCTTCTATTAGTAGTACACTTATTTGCATGCCGTGGCAGCCTTTAAGTAAGGCAACACCACAATATAATGTTTGATGTATTAAGGTTATATTAGATAAGGTGTAGGTATGCTTTGTTGGCTGTCTTAAAATAAATAAATAAATAAATAAAGTGGAGCGTATTTTTTGTCAAAGAAACAAAAAGAATTCATAAAAATGTTTAAGATTGCAAATGAAAACGATATATAAGTACCTACCTACCTACATTGTATTTGTATACTTCACAATTAGGTAATTGGATAGTTATAACAAGCAACTACCATTCCTCTATGGGTTCGAATCGAACTACTGCGGTGATTAACGGGACTATTAGTTAAATACAAATTGCTAACATTCTTTTAAAAAAATGCGACATACTACCACAAATATTGGATTGTCTCACAACCGCAGAAACGCTCGGCATCCGATGGACCTGCGCTACATGAAGTTCCTGCGGCTGCTGCTGCGTATGATCGACTCCTGGCCGCACCAGCAGCTACGCGACAGCAAGCCCGTGCGCTTCCGAGACTCGCGCTTCCTCTTCATAGAGGGCGCTGGCGTCGGCATCGGCGGCCTGTTCTACGTCCGGAGCCACTACAAGGTGGTCCCCTTCCTGGAAATTGGACAGACGTACTTGACTATCTTTCTGAGCATAGTCGCTACGGTAAGGACGAATAACCTACAGAACTAAAAGTGACTGAATGTGGAGACGGTTATATGTATACTCACTCAGTGTGTATAAAATCGTTGATATAACATGGGGATTAACTATTGTTGACAATTAGTTTTTTTTTTAATTGCAATTCTTATGGTGTGGATTCTTATTACTAATATCGATGGTGATAGTTCATCTTTGGGTAACAAATCGTGCATGTTTGCTCCTTTTCTTTACCCTCGGTTGAATTTAGCCTTACAGTTGTTGGGGATATTACAGACGAGACTACAGCATTATTGCGGGCTTTATTTACCTTATAATCATGTTTTGCCTATGTTTCATTTTTCTTACAGCAAAGAGTGACTATCGCCTGGTTTAAGTCATTTCGAGAAGTAATAACGGAATTTGTTTTGAAAATTCATTTGTTTTACTTCAGACATAAATCGAAGTATACTGAAAATGTAAATTAAATGGTATTACAATTATTCATCATTTATCGTACATGAAATTTTATGATTAAATCGCTATTTTAATTCCAGGTGTATCAACGTATAAACAGACTCTGCTCAGTCTTTGTTGCTTTCGTCGCTGTAGAAGTAATAATAGGAATATTTCTGTTCAACTTAATGCCCTTCCTCAATAACTACAAAAAGGGCATGTTCAATCAGGAGCTGCCGGCCAACAAGGTGTTCGAGCATTCCATCAACTACTCCCTGCCATACGTCAACTGCTACACCAACTTGATCGGGTACATTGTCATGACGCTCATCAATATAATCTGCAGCTGTGACTGCGGCATATTTTTCAGCGGCGTTGACGTTTATATAGCTGTCATCGTGTTCCACATCTGGGGACACTTGAAAATCCTCGACCATCGTTTGAGAACCTTCCCGACGCCGGTGCAGATGCGCGGCCACCAGCCTGGAGAGCCTGGAAATGATCTAATGTATACTAAGGAAGAAAATAAGAAAGCTGCAGCTATGCTTAAGGACATCATCGAGTATCATGGAATGATAATGCGGTTAGTGTCCTAGAATAAGTAAAAGCTTATTGCAGGATGATTTTAAACGTGAAACCTTAAATCAGAAATATTTAGCCTTATACATCTCGTTTTTGTCACCAAAACAAGTTACAGACCCAGACTAAAATATTGTGTGCATGATGCAAATAAGTCAGTGTACCTATTTAGTATTACCATTACTGTTAGAGCAAAAACGACAATAGTGTCAATAGATGAAGTTTATCTGTGATTTTTTTAGTTTCATGACTAAAACATCCGAGGCATTTGGACCGACGCTGTGCTTATACTACTTGTTTTATCAAGTCAGCGGTTGTATTCTCCTACTCGAATGTTCAAGCTTGGTAAGTTTCATTTGGACCTCATAAATCGACATGAATTAAAATAAGAGCGCATTGTGATAGTAGGAAAGTGCAAAGGGCATTTCTACTGTACGGTGTATTTTTTCTCAATTCGGTGCTAAAATTTATATTTAGTTTTTTAAGTAGTTTCAATACAAAAAAATAAATGTTACTCCATTCTGAATGTAAAAATAGCATTGTCACTAAATATTGTGAAGTGGTTTATGAGAAATGTTAAGCATCGAATTGAGAGAGCACCGAATTGAGAAAATGAATCACGGAATTGAGAAATGAATCTCCAAATATAAAAATCGCTCCGCAAACTTAGAATTGATGACATTATGAAGAAATACCTAATGTATTTCAATAATTAATATAATAAATACTTAAAACGTTTTAATATCTGATTGCTGGTCTATTAGTTAGATGGTTCATTTTAGGTTTATGTGTCTGAAATACCAATGGATAAAACAAAAATCCTAATCAATATGTTTAATTTTTTAATATGGAACTATAATAAATTCTTAATTTTTATATATTATTTTAATTTTATTTAAATAAAACAAATAAATACATAACACGTCATGGTCTCTTTGTTTATTTATTCTTAACCTTAAACATAAAACAAATATTGCAAAAGTACCCAAGAGCTAGATTGACCTGACACTATACCGAAGATATTATATCGGACGTCAGTTTGTACACGATTAAAATGGCACTCAAATAGCTGAAATACAACAAGGCACCAGGTGTTACGGCATTATAGCTGAGGTACAAAACTTAATTCTTGTTAGAGGTTACATTCTTGGCGGGGTAGGGTAGTCGTGGTCAACGATTTTCAGATAATGTTGGTTGCATATTTTGCTAAACTACTCCATCACTCTCTGTTCGAGCCACTACGACACGTGTACCTACCATCGTCAGCATAATATCAAATTACACATTTGACCATGTTTTGAATTAAAAATAGCACTTACTGTTTTTTTTTCAGGATAATAAACAATTTTAAGATGTTTTACATAAGTATTGCTTATTATATTTTATTAGTATTACTATTACATTTGAATTAGATACCACAGATACCTATCTCGATGTGCCGCCGCGTTTACATTTGATAGAACACTTCGCAGCCATCTAATGAGATATGTCCGTCTAGTGTGTGATTGGCCGCGAAAATGTTGACCTTCTCTTCCCCATACCATTAATCGTTCCAAAGAGCTTTCATTGCCTTTATACCNTTTTTAAAAATCAACGTAACAAGTGATGTTTTCTGTTTCAGATTATAAAGACATCATTCTCCTACTTCATGCTACTGCGAACATTCACCTAAGATTTGCATTTAAGTTTTAATCATCTATCTTTTAATTAAATCGCTATTTACTTATGTTTTGCTGTTTATTGCCTTATTTTTGGAGAAACGGAAGTGCTGACAGTGGAGAGTGGTTAATAATAAATACTCAATAGTTTACAAAAGGTGTTATTGGTAAAGTAAGATTCAATAATGGACCCTGTAAAATCTGATATTGGTAAAAATTCAATATTTCGGGTCTTAGAATAGAACTACTTCTTTAAACATTTGTGTGACCTTTTACAGAACTGTAACCCGCCCATAATATTATTGAAACAGTACCAATACAAAGTAAATAAGGACATTTTAGATTGTAGTTACTATCCAAACGAACAAAAACATTCACAAAATTATATTTTTGTTTCATGGCTTAAAAATTAAATTTTAGTAAAGCTAATAAAAAGATAATTGCTTTTAATTATTCCCCTTGCTCCACACGTATTATAATAGGTGACCTTTTTTCAGGCTGTTATTGTGTTCTGAGAACAAAGCCTTATGCTAATACTAGTGTTGTTACTTAAATACAATATATTTTACGTTCAAAGGTTTTAGTATGAAGACTGAAAAGGTTGTATTACACTCTGCGAAGAGATTATATTTTCTAACTTAATTATATCTACTATAAAAATAAGTCGGGTTTTCCTCCCTGACGCTATAACTCCAGAACGCACGAACCGATTTCCACGGTTTTGCATTCGTTGGAAAGGTCTCGGGCGGCNTTTATACCTAGTTGCTACGTAAAAATCAACGTAACAAGTGATGTTTTCTGTTTCAGATTATAAAGACATCATTCTCCTACTTCATGCTACTGCGAACATTCACCTAAGATTTGCATTTAAGTTTTAATCATCTATCTTTTAATTAAATCGCTATTTACTTATGTTTTGCTGTTTATTGCCTTATTTTTGGAGAAACGGAAGTGCTGACAGTGATGGAGAGTGGTTAATAATAAATACTCAATAGTTTATTGCCTCCATAATATTTACAAAAGGTGTTATAGGTAAAGTAAGATACAATTATGGAGCCTTTAAATCTGATGTTAACGCAAACCGCGAAAACCAAGAAAAAAAATCTGATGTTGGTAAAAATTCGATATTTCGGGTCTATTCTAAAATAGAACTACTTATTCAAACATTTGTGTGACCTTTCAAAGAAATCTAATCCGCCCATAATATTATTGAAACAGTACCAATACAAAGTAAATAAGGACATTTTATATTGTAGGTAGGTACCTAGTTACTATCCAAACTAACAAACATTATATTTTTGTTTTGTGGCTTAAAAATTAAATTTAAGTAAAGCTAATAAAAAGATAATTGCTTTTAATTATTCCCATTGCTCCACACGTATTATAAAAGGTGACCTTTTTTCAGGCTGTTATTGTGTTCTGAGAACAAAGCCTTATGCTAATACTAGTGTTGTTACTTAAATACAGTATATTTTATGTTCAAAGGTTTTATGAAGACTAAAAAGGTTGAAAACACTCTGTGAACAGATTATTTCTATGTTAATTATATGTAGTGTAATAATTGAAAGTAACAAGCATTCGCAAGCCTTTGCTGATCTTTAATCTTATTATATCTTTAACCTCCTGATAAAACTTTTATTTCTAGCTACCTAGCTCGCATAAATATTTACAACTATGTATTNACTGGTCTCGCACACTCACTGCGGTCGCCCGTCGCACAGTCGCGACAGCAATATAATTAGGCGCGAGCGATAAGAATGGGTAGCTTGGGGTCATTGGACAAAATTCTACGTGCTCGCAGACCGGGCTTTAATACAATACAAATTGCTAACATTCTTTTAAAAAAATGCGACATCCAGACTTCCACAAACATTGGATTGTCTCCCAACCGCAGAAACGCGCGGCATCCGATGGACCTGCGCTACATGAAGTTCCTGCGGATGCTGCTGCGTATGATCGACTCCTGGCCGCACCAGCAGCTACGCGATAGCAAGCCCGTGCGCTTCCGAGACTCGCGCTACTTGTTCATAGAGGGCGCTGGCGTCGGCATCGGCGGCCTGTTCTACGTCCGGAGCCACTACAAGGTGGTCCCCTTCCTGGAAATTGGGCAGACGTACTTGACTATCTTTCTGAGCGTAGTCGCTACGGTAAGGACGAATAACCTAAAGAACTGAAAGTGACTGAATGTGGAGATGGTTATATACTCACTCAGTGTGTATAAAATCGTTGATATAACATGGGGATTAACTATTGTTGACAAATTAGTTTTTTTTTTAATTGCAATTCTTATGATGTTGATTCTTATTACTAATATCGATGGTGATAGTTCATCTTTGGGTAACAAATCGTGCATGTTTGCTCCTTTTCTTTACCCTGGGTTGAATTTACCCTTACAGTTGTTGGGGATATTACAGACGAGACTACAGCATTATTGCGGGCTTTATTTACCTTATAATCATGTTTTACCTATATTTCATTTTTCTTACAGCAAAGAGTGACTATCGCCTGGTTCAAGTCATTTCGGGAAGTAATAACGGAATTTGTTTTGAAAATACATTTGTTCTACTTCAGACATAAATCGAATTATACTGAAAATGTAAATTAAATGGTATCACAATTATTCATCATTTATCGTACATGAAATTTTATGATTAAATCGCTATTTTAATTCCAGGTGTATCAACGTATAAACAGACTCTGCTCAGTCTTTGTTGCTTTCGTCGCTGTAGAAGTAACAATAGGAATATTTCTGTTCAACTTAATGCCCTTCCTCAATAACTACAAGAAGGGCATGTTCAATCAGGAGCTGCCGGCCAACAAGGTGTTCGAGCATTCCATCAACTACTCCCTGCCATACGTCGACTGCTACACCAACTTGATCGGGTACATTGTCATGACGCTCATCAATATAATCTGCAGCTATGACTGCGGCATGTTTTTCAGCAGCGTTGACGTTTGTATAGCTGTCATCGTGTTTCACATCTGGGGACACTTGAAAATCCTCGACCATCGTTTGAGAACCTTCCCGACGCCGGTGCAGATGCGCGGCCACCAGCCTGGAGAGCCTGGAAATGATCTAATGTATACTAAGGAAGAAAATATGAAAGCTGCAGCTATGCTTAGGGACATCATCGAGTATCATGGAATGATAATGCGGTTAGTGTCCTAGAATAAATAAAAGCTTATCAGAATTATTTAGCCTTATACTTCTCGCTTTTGTCACCACAACAAGTTACAGACCCAGACTAAAATATTGTGTGCATAATGCAAATAAGTCAGTGTACCTATTTAGTATTAGTGTTTGTGCAAAAACAACAATAGTTAATGTTTATCTGTGATTTTTCTAGTTTCATGACTAAAACATCCGAGGCATTTGGACCAACGCTGTGCTTATACTACGTGTTTCATCAAGTCAGCGGTTGTATTCTCCTCCTCGAATGTTCAAGCTTGGTAAGTTTCATTTGGACCTCATAAATCGACATGAATTCAAAAAAGAGCGCATTATGATAGTAGGAAAGCGCAAAGTATAAATATATAATAACACATTTTACTGTTCAGGACCCAGAATCTTTGGGAAGGTACGCTGGATTGACAGTAACTCTATTCCAACTTCTGATCCAGGTTTCGGTAATTGTGGAACTTCTTGGTACTCAGGTGAGTGAGCTGTGATCTCCATTTTTTAAAACTTTCGTGTCGTCAATCAACTCAATATGTTGCTGCGGCTATCGCCATTGCTAGTATTTACGTACCAATACTATGTCGGTCCCAAGCTGTAGTTTTCACTGGAGAAGTTGCCCCATATTCTGGATGCTATCTTTATATTACAGCCAACAAATTCTTCGAAAGTTGAGGATATACTCTTTTGTTTTCTGAATTGGATTTAGCTGTCTGAATAATCTGCCCAATTTCTTTAGCAGTGTATGCAATTTCAGAGCGAGACCCTAAAGGACGCGGTGTACAGCATGCCGTGGGAGTGCATGGACACGAGCAACCGGCGGACGGTGCTGTTCCTGCTTTACAAAGTGCAGGAGCCCATCCGCCTCAAGCCCATGGGCATCGTCTCTGTCGGCGTGCAGACGATGGCCACCGTGTGTATTTCAATTTACACTCATTAAATTTTTCTTCAGGCAAAGCTTTATAGCCACGATAGTCGAACGGTGAAGGGGTCGGAGTGGCCGATTCGAGATCCGAGGAACGCGGGTACGAATCCCACCGCCGCTCGACTGTTGTGGTGAGCCCACTCGTAACACAAGCTAATTTAGCTTACCACGAGGGGCTAACGGGACTATTAGTAATTTGGGCAATACAAATTGCTAATAATCTTAAAAAAAAAAAAAAGACTTCCACGCAGCATAAAGATATAGAAGGTTGTGTTGTGATTGACTTCTACTTGTTAAACTGTAGGTACAAANCGGGCGGCCGCTAGTGTAGTATAATAATTGAAAGTTACAAGCATTCGCAAGCCTTTGCTGATCTAATCTTATATCTTTAACCTTCTGAAAAAACCTTTATTTATGTTAATAAGTAGGTACTATTAAAGGCCGGTCGATCTATTCTCATAAATAAAACACTGAATACTCAATTTTCACATTATATTGCCTTATTTTAGATACAATTCATCACTTAGCACAAAAGCGCGCGGAGTCGTCTCCGCGCGTCCCTCTATTCTGACGTTTGATCCTAGTGCGACATTGACGTATTGTCAATGTCACTATGACAGCATCTCATTGGCCACAACGAAACCGCTATTTTAATGTTTTAGATTTTTCATAATTAACAAGGGTAGCTACCTATTTTAAAGCAGCTTCGTAGATATCTCTAATCTCTCGAGCAATTTTCGTACACATTTATATTTTTTATAAAAAAATATTTGTGAATTATGTTACAGCAACAAATATTTAACATTTTTATATTAAAGAAAATGTTTAAAGCTTAGGTATAATTTTAATTACTCTTCACTAACGTATACCTAACCTTCGTGTTAACTGCAACGCATAATTAATATCTAATTAACATCAATTTAAGTCTTAATTATTGGTAAGTATATTTTAAAGGATAAAAAATTATTCTTATTCTCTGTTTGATTAAACAGCAGTGTTAGCCTTTTTAAGGTGCAGGAAGAATTAGAAAAATAAAGAGTGTGAACGAATGTGAGAAATGATTACAATTGAAAATCCAGACGATATGTAAGTATTAGACAAAGACCCAATTTTTCTCCGTTCCGTAGTTAACTCAAGCAAATAACAAAATGAAAACATAGACAATCTCACGAGCGTTTGAACCATTTTCAGTTTAACTTAATTTTTAAAAGTTATGTTCAAACAAATCACACGAGTTGACACATTTAAAATCAATCCATTCTAACTACATAGGAACTTCCAAACTAATAAAATTGTAAGTAAATCGATTACACGTGAACGTGTACACGTACAAATGACTTATTTATTAGTTTAGCCCTCGAGTACGCCGGGTCAGGGGTCCGATGTAGGCCAGGAGGGCGCCGATTCCCTCAAGGCTTGAGGATCCTTAGCCGCCGACTACACTGCTGTGTTATGTTTAGGGAATGAGGTTCACTTTATCTGGGAGCTGAGTCTACACTTATTTTCCTTTCACTTTAACTGACATACAAATAGAATAGAATATATTATTTATTTGGCACAATACACAATAGTTACATGATATATGCATAATACAAGATTAAAACATAGAAAAAACAAAAAATAAAATAGATTTTAAGTGCCCTGTGCCAAAAAAGTCCCTGACTCAGCATTAGTCGTGACAAAGATGCCACGACACTGATTTTCAGCAAGGACCTTTGGGGCACTGGGGTCGCCGTAAAAATAAAAAAAATAAAAAAACAAAGAAACATAAATACAAACAATAAAATCATAAAACAATATTATGAGCGTTTACGCCGTTTGGCGCAAAAACAGTACTTTTTCAACCCGTTACAATCACCAACCAAGTTACATTACAAATATGTTATAGGCATAAATATACCTATAGGAAAATTCGTCGTCTAAATAGTTAGTTGAGAAAATATTTCAATTAGTGTAGTATTTAAGAATTATATCAAGATAAGTCCACACAGGTTTTCAAATTTCCACTTTAGCGTCAGTTTACAAGCTGAAATTTTATAAAAAATACTGTGAAAATAAATCAATTAAAATGAATGGCATTGGAGTTCCAATACTAATGTAAAGGAAAATAAGAGATCTAAAACTTAAAAGTATTTCTTTATGAGCTTTAAAAAAAGGAAAAGCTGCAAGCGTGTACCTATTAAACTTCTGGTAAATCGCCATTTACTTACAAAAATGGCATTAGACATAAAATATATGCACAAGCCTTTATTAATCTCGACGAAATAATCACCACCAAATTTTACCGTCACGGAACGGTGCACATTTGCGTTCACAGCAACGCCCATGGACCTAAAATAAAAAAATAAATATAAAAATAAAAATTTTATTTCGTTTATAAGGTTTCTTTAGTTAATAAGTAGATTGGAGCCTCCATTTAAGCAAAAAATGCCTGTGTTTGGAGGGTCCGCTCTTCAATAGATGTATACAATTATTAAACCTTATAATTAATTATATAGTTCTGTTCAATATTAAGTGTTATTGTGCAAGATAATGTGAATGTGTGTGTGTGTGTGTGTGTGTGTGTGTGTGAGTGTATGTTTATCTGCGTCGATTAAACATAGATATAAAAAAACAACACTATTTTACAAATCATGAGATTCGATCCAGCAAATGTTCGATTTCTTCATATTATTATGACTTATTTTGTATCCAAATACAGTGTGAGTCACGTTAAAGTGTACATATGAAAATAGATGAAACTAGACCTATTTTTATCGACAAAAAAGAGGTCAAAATTATTTTGAGATTTTTTTTAATTTTTTATAGAATTTTTTTTCTTTCAATTACTTATTGTAAAGAAAACGTAATAACTTTTAAACTAAGCGGTATTGATAAAATAAAAACAGTAATAATGCTAAATAACAGGCAATACTAAAAAAATACATAAAATACACAAAAAAGGCCAACTAATAATAAAAAAATATACTTTTTGAAAAAAATCTGCTAAAAAATTCGCGTTTTTTTGGTTATTTGATAAATTTCTCCAAAAAATGCCCCTATAACCGGGGGTTTTTATTACTTTGTATTATTGTCTATCGTATTACCTTCGTAAAACCAAAAATCGCATGTCTCTATCCCTATCACAACGTTTGCAATTATCGTTAGAACTAAGCCTCTCCGGGCGCGCCATTCAACGCTTCGTTAACAACGAAACTGAAAATGGCTCTAGATTTGTAATTTTTATAAAGACAAGTTAGATTTCAAATAAAAACAAAAGATTTCAAAGTAAAATAAGCATTTTAGTTACAATTAAAATTGTCTCTACCTGTAGCGGAGAATAATGTTGTGGCAGGCCTTTGTTCAATCGATCATAGCAAATGTTGTGATAGGGATAGAGACATGCGATATTTGGTTTTAAAAAGATAATNTCGCTTCGCGCGGTGGTGTAATATTAATAAAATAAAATTAAATGCTGATAAATGCAACTTCGTACATTTTTCGCGTAATAAGAATCAATATTTTAATTCTTATAATATAGACAACCAAGTGATACGAGAAGTTGATGTCATTCGAGACCTTGGAGTCTACATTGATAATAAACTGCGTTTTCACGTGCATATCGATAAAATAGTCACTAGAGGCTTTAGGTTGCTGGGTTTCATACTTAGAAACTGTCGGGATTTCAGAAAGGCATCTAGCAAAATTGCTGTTTTCAACTCACTGGTTCGGTCGGGATTAGAGTACGGTAGTGTCGTTTGGACTCCTTTTTATGAAATACATATTTGAATTAAAGAGCTGCAGAGTTGAATTAATGCAAAAGAGATATCTTTGGCATTTGTCATATCAACATAAATTTGCTAAACAGCTCCCTAGCTACAATACACGCCTAAATTATTTTAAACTGAATAGCTTGGAAGACCGCAGGAAAATATTGGATTGTCTATTCCTATATAAAATAATTAATGGTTACATAGATTGTCCTGATCTCGTTAAACAGATTAAATTCAATGTTCCCTTCAAACTAGCTCGGTTGTCCAGGTATCTGCCGTTTAAAGCAAATGGTTTTAGGACAAATCTGGGTCATTAATTTCTCCTCTATCAACAGGATTCAGTCACATTTTAGCAACCTGTCACGTTCATCCGGGGCCAGCGTTGATATGTCATCTTCGCTACGTAAATTCAAAAAACAAATTTCTGAATTGTATACTCCGACGGTTAGCTAATAATTTTATGTTTTGCGTTTTGCATTCTGTCACTTTGGCAACGTTATTGTTATCCAACATTCGGTGCATGTCGTGGCAACCTTTAATTAAGGCAACACCTTAGCTTAATTTATTTATAGGGAAACTGTGAATGTATGGTGTATGTTTTGTTGGTTGTCCTTAAATAAATAAATAAATAATCAAAAAAATACGAATTTTTAAGCATATTTTTTTCAAAAAGTATCATTTTTTATTATTTGTTGGCATTTTCTGGGTATTTTATGCATTTTTTTAGTATTGCCTGTTATTTAGCATTATTACTGTTTTTATTTTATCAGGATATACCTTTTAGTTTAAAAGTTATTACGTTTTCTTTACAATAAGTAATTGAAAGAAAAAAAAGCTAAGATATATTTTTTTTTAAATTCTCAAAAAAATTTTGACTTCTTTTTTGTCGATAAAAATAGGTCTAGTTTTACCTTAATTCATATGTACACTTTAACGTGACTCACACTATATTATAATTTCCTTACCGAGAGCAACCCACTGGTGTTATACATATAACATATCGGTGGGGAAGCGTCTCTTCCTAAAGTACATGACTTTAGTACAAGGTTAATAAATTGGGTTTTTGCGGCACCACCCCATACAGGAATGCAGTAGGTTAAAACGGACTGTGCAAGAGCTGTGTATATTCAGTTGAGAAGACAATTAGGCGAGTTCTTTTCACTATTATCTACCTGGCATCACATGTCTGAGGGTTTTAAAGATCCATACTAGTTTCCTAGTTCTAGAGATGATGTGTTCTATATGTATATGAGTACCATGATAGTCTTTGGTCCATAATTACACCCAAATATTTTGCTTCAGCCACTTTTTCAATAAGCGGACAGTTACATTTGCTTCCATTAGGGTCTACAATACACTCATGGATTCTTAAGCTAAAATCAGGCTGAGGCTGGGTATTGCTGTAAATGCTATAACAGATATATTTAGTTTTAGATGTGTTTAGCGTAAGGAGGTTCTCTTTCAGCCACCGAGCCACACGAGCCAATCCAGCCTCAGCACTGTTTTTTACTGCTTCCCAAGATTCACCAGCAAAGACTACTGCAGTGTCATCAGCGTACGACAGGACTTTGGCATTAGTTAATTTCATGCTACATAGGTCGTTTATATACTTGCGAGCAAAAGTNGATGAGAAAAAGAGTTGGTCCTAGAACGCTGCCCTGTGGCACGCCACACGTCACCTCCGCACCTCCACTAGTGTAACCAGGCAGTTTTACTTTTTGTTTCCAATCTGACAAGTAACTTTCACAAAGGGCGAGTGCAGTTGGGGTTATTCCCACGCATTCCAACTTGTGTACAAAGATGGGGATAGACACTGTATCAAAGGCCTTTTTCAGATCGAGGAAAACAGACAGACATTTTTTATTTTGATCAAGTTGGCTAGTTACAAAGGAGCTTAATTCAGTAATTGCATCTTCTGTCGATCTTCCACGTCTAAAACCATATTGTGCAGCTGATAATATGTCATATTTATTTAAATAATTCAGTAGCCTATTATTTAGTTATATTTCTAACATCTTCGAAATTGCCGGTAGAACCGAAATTGGCCTATAATTGCTTATATCATCTACATCTACATCAGGACCTCCGCTATATGAAGATGCTCAGAAACCTTCTCCACCTGATCAGCTCCTGGCCATACAAGCTGCTGGGCGAGGACGTCAACCCCCTGAGAGGAACTTTCTATCTCTTCGTGGAATGGGCGATCGTGCTGGTGACCGGCCTTATCTACGTGAAGACACATATCAACAAACTCCTGATCCATTAATTATCTGTACGTTAAATCGTTTGTACCACATTTAAATCAAATAAATTATGATTTAGATTCTGATTCAGCTAAATGCTCTCATTTTAAATGTGACACGTAGCCCCTTCTTGCTGAAACTAAGTGTTCCTGTTATAGCCTCGATTCTTGCAGTATACTGAAAATATCTTGATACAATAAATAATAGAAATTACTGTATATTTAAATTTATCAATGCAAGATGTTGTTTTTTTCTAATTACCGTTAGATTAAGTATTAGCCTTATCTAATTACCGTGACCATAAAATTTTTGGATCTCATTTACGCGAAAACAGCTTTGAATAATTTGACGCCTTTACGATTGTTAATACTTTTCATGTGTTTTATATTTAAATGCATTTAAGTCAATTAACTACGCCAAATTTCAAAAATGATACGGTAACTAGGCTGAGAACGCCTGATCGTGAGAATGACCGATAAGCGTCGTTTAGAGGCTATTCAAAAAAGATTCCTCTGGCACCTATCTTATCAATGTGGATTGGCAAAGCGCCTTCCTACATATGAGTCCAGGCTGAAATACTTTAATTTAAATAGTTTAGACAATCGCAGAATAATTTATGACCACCTTTTTTTGTACAAAATTATTAATGGGCAAATCTACTGTCTCAGGTAATTTTAACACTCCATACAAACTAACTAGACCGTCTAGGTATATGGCTGTATACGTTATTTCATGTTATAAACGCTGAGTATCGAAGAAAGCGAGTTTCAATCACAAATACATCACATCCATCTACATGGTACTTCTACGCCGGATGCAAAGCAAGGAATCGTCGTGATCAACTGCATAAATCGGACACGCGAAACCAGCAGAGAAGGCAGCATTGAATACACGGTCAGGTCAATCATCCTTTCATTTTCCTATCATTGTTCATAATCCGCAGTGTTTTGTGCTAATAGTGGTAATATCAGTGCGTATTACAAGTTATTAAACCGGTGAAAGTGACGTTGAAACGGTCAAGGTCACGTAAGTATTGCCGTGCAATTTATTCACATAAAATCAGTGTTATCTTGTTCTCTTGTGTTCCACAAACGCCAAAATGACTAAAAAGAAGCATTCTCTCACTCATTTTGAAAGTTTAGATGATAATTTAGTAAGAGATTTGACTAGAAAAAGAGGCGTTATTCGCGGTAAACTAACGTTATTTTTAAAATTTGTCGATTCCTTAGAAAATATCACAATTACTGAGGCAATTCGAACAGAATTACAAACGCGCTTAGAAAGGGCNGCCCGTGCGCTTCCGAGACTCGCGCTTCCTCTTCATAGAGGGCGCTGGCGTCGGCATCGGCGGCCTGTTCTACGTCCGGAGCCACTACAAGGTGGTCCCCTTCCTGGAAATTGGACAGACGTACTTGACTATCTTTCTGAGCATAGTCGCTACGGTAAGGACGAATAACCTACAGAACTAAAAGTGACTGAATGTGGAGACGGTTATATGTATACTCACTCAGTGTGTATAAAATCGTTGATATAACATGGGGATTAACTATTGTTGACAATTAGTTTTTTTTTTAATTGCAATTCTTATGGTGTGGATTCTTATTACTAATATCGATGGTGATAGTTCATCTTTGGGTAACAAATCGTGCATGTTTGCTCCTTTTCTTTACCCTCGGTTGAATTTAGCCTTACAGTTGTTGGGGATATTACAGACGAGACTACAGCATTATTGCGGGCTTTATTTACCTTATAATCATGTTTTGCCTATGTTTCATTTTTCTTACAGCAAAGAGTGACTATCGCCTGGTTTAAGTCATTTCGAGAAGTAATAACGGAATTTGTTTTGAAAATTCATTTGTTCTACTTCAGACATAAATCGAAGTATACTGAAAATGTAAATTAAATGGTATTACAATTATTCATCATTTATCGTACATGAAATTTTATGATTAAATCGCTATTTTAATTCCAGGTGTATCAACGTATAAACAGACTCTGCTCAGTCTTTGTTGCTTTCGTCGCTGTAGAAGTAATAATAGGAATATTTCTGTTCAACTTAATACCCATCCTCAATAACTACAAAAAGGGCATGTTCAATCAGGAGCTGCCGGCCAACAAGGTGTTCGAGCATTCCATCAACTACTCCCTGCCATACGTCAACTGCTACACCAACTTGATCGGGTACATTGTCATGACGCTCATCAATATAATCTGCAGCTGTGACTGCGGCATATTTTTCAGCGGCGTTGACGTTTATATAGCTGTCATCGTGTTCCACATCTGGGGACACTTGAAAATCCTCGACCATCGTTTGAGAACCTTCCCGACGCCGGTGCAGATGCGCGGCCACCAGCCTGGAGAGCCTGGAAATGATCTAATGTATACTAAGGAAGAAAATAAGAAAGCTGCAGCTATGCTTAAGGACATCATCGAGTATCATGGAATGATAATGCGGTTAGTGTCCTAGAATAAGTAAAAGCTTATTGCAGGATGATTTTAAACGTGAAACCTTAAATCAGAAATATTTAGCCTTATACATCTCGTTTTTGTCACCAAAACAAGTTACAGACCCAGACTAAAATATTGTGTGCATGATGCAAATAAGTCAGTGTACCTATTTAGTATTACCATTACTGTTAGAGCAAAAACGACAATAGTGTCAATAGATGAAGTTTATCTGTGATTTTTTTAGTTTCATGACTAAAACATCCGAGGCATTTGGACCGACGCTGTGCTTATACTACTTGTTTTATCAAGTCAGCGGTTGTATTCTCCTACTCGAATGTTCAAGCTTGGTAAGTTTCATTTGGACCTCATAAATCGACATGAATTAAAATAAGAGCGCATTGTGATAGTAGGAAAGTGCAAAGTATAAATGTATAATAACACATTTTTCTGTTCAGGACCCAGAATCTTTGGGAAGGTACGCTGGATTGACAGTAGCTCTATTCCAACTTTTGATCCAGGTTTCGGTAATTGTGGAACTTCTTGGTACTCAGGTGAGCTGTGATCTCCATTTATTTAAATTTTCGTGTCGTCAACTCAATATGTTGCTGCGGCTATCGCCATTGCTAGTATTTACGTACCAATACTATGTCGGTCCCAAGCTGTAGTTTTCACTGGAGAAATTGCCCCATATCCTGCATGCTGTCTTTAGATTACAGCCAACAAATTCTTTGAAATTTGAGGACATATTATTTTGTTTTCTGAATTGGATTTAACTGTCTGAATAATCTACCCAATTTCTTTAGCAGTGTATGCAATTTCAGAGCGAGACCCTAAAGGACGCGGTGTACAGCATGTCATGGGAGTGCATGGACACGAGCAACCGGCGGACGGTGCTGTTCCTGCTTTACAACGTGCAGGAGCCCATCCGCCTCAAGCCCATGGGCATCGTCTCCATCGGCGTGCAGACGATGGCCACCGTGTGTATTTCAATTTACACTCATTAAATTTTTCTTCAGGCAAAGCTTTATAGCCACGATAGTCGAACGGTGAAGGGGTCGGAATGGCCGACTCGAGATCCGAGGAACGCGGGTACGAATCCCACCGCCGCTCGACTGTTGTGGTGAGCCCACTCGTAACACAAGCTTATTTAGCTTACCACGAGGGGCTAATGGGACTATAAGTAATTTGGGCAATACAAATTGCTAATAATCTTTAAAAAAAAAGACTTCCACGCAGCGTAAAGATATAGAAGGTTGTGTTGTGATTGACTTCTACTTGTACAAAACTTAATTCTTGTTAGAGGTTACATTCTTGGCGGGGTAGGGTAGTCGTGGTCAACGATTTTCAGATAATGTTGGTTGCATATTTTGCTAAACTACTCCATCACTCTCTGTTCGAGCCACTACGACACGTGTACCTACCATCGTCAGCATAATATCAAATTACACATTTGACCATGTTTTGAATTAAAAATAGCACTTACTGTTTTTTTACAGAATGTTTTTGATGGGATTTCACTTCTTTTTGTAGAAAGTGGCAAAATTATTTAACGTCGTCATTTTATCAACATTTTTTTACGATATTAAACACAAATAAACTCAACGACCTTTAAAATGGAGAACGAATCAGAATTGTTTTAATAACATAACCTTAGCGAACCCTTCAATATAATATACGAAATCAACGAAATGCAAATTACACAACATTCAACTTAATCGACGGGGGCCTCTAGAAAGGAAAAAAATCTGGACACCGCTTGCTAGTGCTAGCGCCATCTAGCGGTGAGCGATACAGGCGAACACCACGGTGCCGGAGTAGTATTGATTATGAATGTGGTGGTGTTACTGCAGATCTTCGATTTTCCTAGTTTTTATAGTTTTCCCTTTATGTGGCCATTAAACCCTAACTCTGTACCAAATTTCAGCTCTCTGAGTTTATGGGAAGTACTAGGTAGTTCTATTTTGATGATCATCAGTGAGAACTAAATGACCTACAGACTTGAAATTTTGGATTTTAAGTATGTGATTATAGGTTACTAGATGACGAAAATTTCTGCGTTCTGGTCTTATCCAGAGGTCCTCAAATAGGGGCCTGAAAATGCGGCGAAATGGTTCCAGTAAAGGATGGTACGGCAGTGTTTGCTTCGCGCTCGACTTGGCGGGGTCACTACCGTGCCCCCAGATACTGGGACGTGTAAAAGTGCTTTGTAAAAGTCTATTTACAGAAATAAATGAGTTTTATGAGTTTTTATGTTAATAAGTACCTAACTTTTTTAAAGCAGCTTCGTAGATATCTTTATATCTCTCGGACATCATATAATTTTCGTACACATTCTTTATTTTTTTATAAAAAAATCATTGTGAATTATGTTACAACAACAAATATTTAACATTTTTATATTAAAGAAAATATTTAAAGCTTAGGTATGATAACCACATCTTGTAAACATTCATGAAATGCAATAAACACATTTTGACTTTGACTTATTTTTAATTACTCTTCACTAACGTATACCTAACCTTCGTTGTTAACTGCAACGCATAATTGATATCTAATTAACATTAAGTCTTAATTATTGGTAAGTATATTTTAAAGGATAAAAAATATTGCAAAGGTGCACATTTGCGTTCACAGCAACGCCCGCCAGCCCATGGACCTCCGCTATATGAAGATGCTCAGGAACCTTCTCCACCTGATCAGCTCCTGGCCATACAAGCTGCTGGGCGAGGACGTCAACCCTGAGAGGAACTTTCTACCTCTTCATGGAATGGGCGATCGTGCTGGTGACCGGCCTTACCTACGTGAAGACACATATCAACAAACTCAGCTTTTTCGAAATGGGGCATACGTACGTGACTGTATCGTTGAATGTGGTCGGCTTGGTGAGAATTGATAACAATACAAACAAATTATTGAACTCTCTTTTGTTCTTGTAAATTAAAAAAGTTAAACTTGAAATGTTGTCGACCACAGCATTTTTAGCAGCATGTTAATGTACCTATCTTTTGTGGGATGCTTTTTCAGCAAAGAATTACAATTTTCTGGTTTAAGTCATATCGGCAAGCGATCAAGGAGTTTGTTCTTGAAGTGCATCTCTTTCACCACAGGCATAAGACGGAATATTCTGAACACGTAAAGTATTTCATTTCATTAACCTACTCGTACCAACTCTTTTTCCGACAAATAGTATTTTGTACAATACTAATCATTTCCAATTTCAGATATATCAATACATTCACAAGATCTGTGCAGTTTTCGTGGTAGCGATCCACGCTGAAGCCTTTTTCGGGGTGCTCCTGTTCAACGTGATGCCATTCGTCAACAACGTGCGGCACGGCATGTTCAATGAGGAGATGCCTCCCGACCGCCAGTTCGAGCACTCCATTAACTACTCTCTGCCCTTCAACTACCACACGGACTTGGTGGGGTATATTGTGATAGCTATTGTCAATTTGATCCTGTCTTACGACTGCCTCCTGGCTTTCTGCGGGTTCGACCTGGCCTTGTCAGTGATCGTATTTCACGTGTGGGGGCATCTGAAGATCCTGGACCACGATTTGAGGACGTTCCCCACGCCTGCTGAGTTGCGAGCAACCCGCGGCCGGCCTGAAGACGAAATGAGCTATTCTAAAGAGGAAAACCAAAGAGTTCGTGCAATGCTTATCATCGATCTTGTAGAATTATATCTCGGGATGACACATTCGCATTAAAAATTGATAATAAGTATATTAAATGCAATGATAAGGTAGCAAACGCATTCGAAGGTTACTTCTCAAATGTACCAATCATAACAACAAGCAATCTTAATTCATGTTCATATCAGGCAATGTCTCTTCTCGAGGGTTGTGTTGATGTTTGCAATAGCCCATTAAAATTTAGACAAATAGACCCCATAGTTATTATAAAAACTTTCAAAGAACTAAATATAAAAAAGCAGAGGATATATGGGGCATATCAACAGACATAATAAAACCCATCATTCCTCTTATAGCTACCCATTTAGCTCATATCTTTAATGAATGTATTAACGAAGGTCAGTTCCCTACCCTGATGAAACATAGTAAAATCATACCATTATTTAAAGCAGGAGACAAAAGTGACCCATCCAACTTTAGACCTATATCGATACTACCTGCGCTCAGTAAAATATTTGAAAAAATTATTTTCAATCAACTACTGTCTCATTTTAACTTAAATAAACTGTTTCATGAAAAACAATATGGGTTCACAAAAGGGAAAAGTACGACCGATGCAGGGGTTGCTCTTATCAAACACATTTTCGATGCTTGGCAGGAGAAAAAAGATGCTATTGGTGTATTTTGTGACTTATCGAAGGCGTTTGACTGTGTTGATCATCAAACTCTGTTAATGCGAGGCAACACTGGCTGCACGAAGCTAGCGTGGGGTGCGGTACCAGGTGCGCAGGGTACAAGGTGCTTCGACCTGGTTTCGCATTGTGAAGACATTTTATTACTTCCGTGCGGTACCAGGTCTAAAAACCTGGTATTAAGGTAGGTACATCATTGGATTCTATTTTAAGAATACATCATAGATATATGTTCATCACTTTCCTACACCAGACCCAATTGAAGTTATGCCTTTCGCACGACAAGGAAGACTATAATTTTCTTAGCCGCACGGTAAGCGAGACGTACACCAGGTCTATAGACCTGGTTTCGCACTCAACGTGTATAGCGGCCTTGTTGTTATGCGGCATGTTAATCTGGAACCTAATGGTAGTAAACTATGTTTATTCGCGTGGGACAGATAAGCATTGAATAATCATAGATCCTGAATCTCAGAGAAATACAGTGCTCTCTCTCACAGATAGGTACAGCTACCTACTCATTTCCGTTTTTTCTCTAACTCTCATCAAATGCCTTGCAATAGAACGAGACGATATGACCGGAAATGGGTAGGTGAAACTAAGGCCGATAGTATTCTACAAGAGTCTAAAAAGTATATTGACTTTGTCATTAAGAATGGTATAAAAGTAATACCTACATAATTTCCTTGTTTCAGATTTTGAAAACATCGTTTTCTTACTTCATGTTCTTGCGAACGTTCAGCTAAAGTTTATTTTGCTTTCATCGTCTCGTACGCGTATCAACATGCACGATTGCTTCTCTCAATGTATTCAATTCTGAAAATAAACACGCCACGAAATTCTCAATTTCATTCCTCTAACTCAATTGGTCGTCATCAGCATAGACGGTGAATGAAATAACTTTGAATGGTTATACTTTGCGTGGTTCAAACCACCACGCGAAGCATAATGACTATTGTTGCGTGATTTTGTCTTCATAATAAATCTATCAGCAGATTCGTATCAAACAAATTGTATCAAATCACCTACCCAAACCAAACCTTAAAAATCAATTAGAATAATTAAAATAATAGTGTTTTTTTAATCTTCAGTAGGTACCTATTAAATCACTGTGACGGGCGTTGTCTTTCACGATTTTTTCGTTCACCTCTCAAAGCGCAGAGTCACTAACTCGGCAAAGAAAGGCAGTATCCCAGCAGAGCCATCAGCTGTGGAAAATGTAATACTTTTGTCTTCATTCTCCCGCAAGCGCTTACGACGGAGCCCCGGATTATTGCGGGCAAGGATCGCTTGATCTGCTGCTCACGCTAATGGCGGTGGCGACAGCTGGGAAAAAATATTTACAGTAAAGTTTTACTTCAGTTTAGGGGAAAAAACCACAAGTATCTAAGTTACTAATTAAAATAAGCAAGTATGGACTGTAATTAAGATTGCAATATGAAGTCACCAGATATAAAATGTGAAAAAGATCTGCAGAAATCAATAGGTAATCTTCTTCCACTGTTCTTCAAAACTTACATAAATAATTTACTTATTTTCCGTAGTAGATATACATACAGTCATTAAAATGTAATTTGAATGCAGCGTAAATTGAACGATGACGAAGATGGAGGAACCACTTAGTACAAAAAAATAAGTAAGTACATAAGTCTGCCCGTTTTTTAGAAGTCTGGCGTTCGCTGGTTATGCGCGGCGCCATTCATACATTCAACGTCGCAATTTCTTTGAAGAACTTTTCCATTTACGGCGCCCTCGCCCAAACCCATTACCCTTATCTGCTTTAATTAAATGCGAACATAATTAATATTCAAAACGCCGGTGCAATTATACTGGTCGTTTGCATGCGCCGCGTATGAAATGCTGAGCTGCAACGCCGTAACTCAAACTGCGGCGGCGTTGGAACAACAGGGAAATAACGCATACCGAATCACTGCAGTATAAAAATACTGGACACGACATTATGACATCGTAGTAAAAAGAACTCTCACACACACAAAGAGAAATTCAATAAGAATAACACTGAAGAGAATTTCAGGACACAACATAATGGAAAACTAAAGAGGTAAAGTTTATATCAACATTTTTATTGGAAAGCACCTAAATGAATAAATAAATGAAATGAAATTTAAAATAGGTATGTTTAATAGCTTTAAATAAGCATTTGTTATTTTTAAGGGAATTTAAACATGCATTCTGAAAAATACACGACTTTTAAAATACACAGCAATTCTAAATTAGAACTAAATTCACGAAATTAGTATTCCGCTTTCGCGAAAGCCGGCATCGAGTTGCTTAAACACTGGTTACCTTTACATTGAAACGGAAATACTCCAGAAGCGTTCTAACCCTCGGCTTCGGAATTAGAGGCAAAGTCCGCATTCCAAGTTGCAGGCACTAATTAACAGGGCTGAGCCGCGCGGCGTGAAAAGTGGCCGCAATTATGGATAAACGCCTAGCCGCAATTATGGGCTTCTTGGCCACAATTTCCCAAAATGTACGATGCACATTTATTTGTGCTTACAAAGGAAAAATAGGATTTCAAAACGAACCTTCAAGATATTTCCCTCTGTCTTGTAGGTATTTCAACACATATTGCCCAACGCTTCTAGCATCAAATCAAGACACCTTTCTAAGTTGGATAGTTTGTATTTAATCAACATCATCATTATTTCGGCCATAGGACGTCCACACCTACTGAAAATAGGCCTCCCCCAATTTTTCCATATTGACCGGATGATAGCCTGCATCAAGAGCCTACCTATTGTACCTAATGATGAAATGAAAAAAGAAATTGTGTAAGTAAATATCTTTGGTCAAATAAATTAACTGTTAAAGTTGACCTCATATCAATATTTAATCGTAGTTCAGTGCAGTAGCATAATAATATTATGTTTACGACGTGCAGTTTGAGAGCCAGCTGAAGCTCAGCATAGCGTAAGCAAACCGCCTGCATTGCGTCTTGCGACGGCCGACCGGCCTTATTGTTGCAGCTATCAGCTCAGGCGCCGCTGGCATTAACATAACATCGGCGGCAATGGCGCGGTTTATCTAGCAAGCTTAGATTGTCGCCGTTCAAAGTCCAGGTTATAATCACGCGGTGGTAGTTACCGACCCGGTTGTAAAATTCTTTGTCCTGTATACGGTATCTAACTTGCAAGTTGCTACATAATATGGATATCATATAAAATAAACTTATTATAATTGCAAAGAAAATAATGCAAATAACCGTAATTACAATTTTCTTAGCGATTAGAGTAGCTTCTCAAACTAAATTAACAACTTTAATCAGTTGGAAGAGCAGTCGCCCGGCAAGCGAAAGGTCGTGGGTTCAAATCCCGCCTTAGGCAGCTCAACTTTTTCAAGTTTATTTTTAAAAAAATGCAAACANTGCAAATAACCATTCGTAGTAGCAAGTAAACACGTAGCTAACGTGTGACTACGCCGTAGCAATATTCGTAGTCTACGATCGTAGAACGTAGAGACAGAGCCATTAATTTTTATCTTTAGAATTTTATAGGGGTGTTAATAAAACCAGCAGTCTGTCTCTAAAGTCAAAGGTTATGTGCAGTGCATATTGAAGTCATGAAAGACACGAAGGCAGTAGCGGCATATTTCACGGCCCCACGTGTAATGTGCAGCCCTGGGCGCTGGGCCAGTGGGCCCCGCCAAATGGCACCTGCTGCGTGCCAAAGCCCTAGCGAGAACTAAAGTATTATTTAACTAATGTATTATGTATCTAAATAATATAACTCAAAGGTGACTGACTGACTGACATAGTGATCTATCAACGCATAGCCCAAACCACTGGACGGATCGAGCTGAAATTTGGCATGCAGGTAGAATTAGATGTTATGACGTAGGAATGGATTTTACGAAACTCCACCCCTAAGGGGGTAAAACGGGATCCACGCTTACGAAGTCGCGGGCGGCCGCTAGTTATTAAGATAAAACTTGATGGCTAAGAGGAAAAAGGGTTTCATCCTGATATTTTTGTTTAGATAGAGCAATTATTTTTATTCAAAATCAAAAAATCAAAATCAAAAATATTTATTCAGTTTAGACCACAAGTGGCACTTATGAACGTCAATAGAAAATAATAAAAAAAGAAAAGGTATTTTTTTTATATTCAGAACAGCGTCGAGGTTTTAATCTTCAACCCACATTAAAAATAAGAAGTNGCATAATTTTACTTACTTTGAAAACTGATAATTATGGTACTTAGTTTGTAGTTTTATAAAAAAAAAATTTATTGCAAAAAATAAAAGTCATCCCACACCTCAATTAGAGATAGCTAATAAACGTTGCCCAGACGTCTCGACCTAAACCCAGGCTCGCACCCAGACTAGCACAGAAAGGTCGTTCGTTATCTAAATTGAGTTTCTTTAATGGCAGAACTAAAATCTGTTTAATGCTTCAAAATATAACTAAACATTGTACCTAGGTAAATTCTCATCCTTTGAGAATTATTAAAATGTAGGTGATGTATTCGAGCAAGCAGTTCTTGGACGGTCAAAACCCTCTAATTGAAGATTGAAAAGGATCAAGGGACACGCAGATTACCCTAGCAGTAGACATTAAACCAAATCAATCTTCACCCTTTCAGACTGCAAAAATCATAGCATCTGTCTTTGGCATTGTACTCGTACTTAATAGCTTTAAAGTACAATTTTCACGTAGCTACCTAAGCGCATCCCATCCCATCCCATTTTTTAAAATATTTTTGTCTTTTAATATCAAATACTAGGCAGTAAGGCAGTAACGGTTTATGATCTTTGCTGTTTCCCCCGTTAAAACTGGGCACATCGACTTCGCGATCATTTCGACGAAGCGTTAATCTAAGATACGTTTTATAATCTTTTTGATGGGTAATAACTC